AGGATAGTTACAGAGCTACTTTCTCTTAATTGAATAAGAAAGATTTGTACTAATAGTGTTTGGACAGGACACAATACCTGCATCTTTACCATGAATAACTAATACAGTCCAGACTAAACCCAGGCACTCCTCATCCAGCCTATGCCATGGCCCAGCGAGTGTGTGGGAAAGCTTCCAGCTACCCTGCACCTGTGGTACCTCTCTGAAACCAAATGCTGGCACTCTGAGGGAGGGAGACACTCTGCCACAACACTCCAACACTCCTGAGCCACCCTCCCAAACCCACCGAATGAGTGAGAACTTCTGCCAGGCGATTGTGCTCTTGGGAACACCCAGATCCAGCCCAAGCCCAGGCCAGGCGAGTGTGTGGGAGAGCTTCTGGCCACCCTGCACCTTTGTGACAACCCCTGATCAAACTCAGGCACACAGCATGAATGAGATCCTCTGCTGTGGCCTGGATTACATCCACTCCTCCGGAGCCCACCAAAGCCTACAATGACTGAGGACTTCTGCTTCACTCTCGGGACACCCCCCAGATACAGATCAAGCCAAGGCAGTGTAAGTGTGTGGGAGAGCTTCCCCTCTTCACTGTGCCACTTGCTCCCCTCAAACCCAGCCAAGACATGGCATAAGGCCCTGGGGTGAAACTCTGTAATTACATTCTCTACAGAGACAGTAGGAGACAAAACCACCCAGCTAATCCAGGAGCAGAACACCTTACAAGAAGGGGGCAACAGGCTCACTCCCAAGGGCTGCAGCAAAAAGAAATTGAACACAACAGCCAAACACAAGCCAGGCACAAATGGACAAATTCAAACTTTGCAGATAAAAATCCCAAATATCAGTAGGTGTTAATGTTATAACTGCAGCAAAGCTATACAACGAAGAACAGAGGACACTACTATACAAAATGAGAAAAGTCAATATTCAAAACTCTATAAATGTAAAAACACTATATCAATGGAACGAAAACTGAAAAAAAAAAAAAGATCATCTCTGTTGATGCAGAAAACCCTTTTGACAAAGTACAACACTCATTCATGTTCAAAGTCATACAGAAAATTGGAATAGAGGGCCTCTACTTCTGTGGGAGGCACAATAACTCCAGGCCTCCAATACTATTGCACGTGAGTCTTTTTCTAAATCCTGTGAATCTGCCACATTATGACTCCGTGCCATATAGCACTTAATGGTCACCTGAGTGCCTCTGACCTATAAAATTCTCTTGGTGCATCAGCATCATTAGTGACGCTGACTTCCTCCTCCCCTACCTCTGATGAGCTAGGTTCCTAGTTCTTACCCAGCTTATTTCCCATAAGTCTCCTGCTATGCCCAGGAGGTGGGACTTCCTGTCATAGCCCAGTTGCCTAGTTACTCACGCCTTTTACCCCCCGACGTCATTTCCCTATGCCTCCACTATATATACCGAGCACCTCCCTAAATAAATGAGACTTGATCAGAATCCTTTCTTCTCTCCATTTCTCGTGTATCCTGTCCTTTGTCCCATCTTCAATTCCTTGCTCCTCCCCCAGGTGACTTTCATTGACTGACCCGCTAGTTCAGGACATATTTCAACCTGGTAAAAGCAATTTATGAAAACCAAATGCCTAACATAATTCTAAATGGGGAAAAATTGAAAACTTTTACTCGTAGATCTGGTACCAGACAAGGATGTCCTCTATCACCTCTCCTATTGAATACAGTTATGAAATCATTAGCTACACCTATTAAACAAGAGAAAAATTAAAAGGAATAAGAACTGGCAAAGAAGAAGTTAAATTATCATTCTTTGCAGATGACATGACACTTTACTTGGAAAACCCAAAAAACTCCAACAAGAAGCTACTAGAATTAATACGGAAATTCAGTACCATAGCAGGTTATAAAGTCAATATCCAAAAATAAATAGCATTCCTCCACACAGACAACAAACACACTGAGAGGGAAATTATAGAAATAATATATTTTACAATAGCACCGAGGAAAACGAAATACCTTGGATTTCATCTAACTAAAGAAGTCAAAAATCTTTTCAAGGAAAATTGCAATACTCTTAAAATAGAGATCTTAAAGGATTTCAGAAAATGGAAAGATATTCCATGCTCCTGGATAGGAGGAAAAAACATTGTGAAGATGACCATATTCCCAAAATTGCAGTACAGATTTAATGCAATCCCTATCAGATTACCACCAACGTACCTCACAGGTCTTGAGAAATCATTCCTAAAATTTATCTGGAACCAGAAAAGACCTAGAATAGCAAAGGCAATCCTGGGCAATAAAGACAAGACAGGAGGCATGACAATTCCTGATTTGAAATTATACTACAAGCATACTCTGATAAAATCAGCATGGTTCAGGCAAAAAAAAATAGACCTGAGGATAAATGGAATAGATTAGAAGACTCTGAAGCCCCGACAAACATACTCAGGCACCTTATCTTTGACAAAATAGCCAAACATAATCACCAAAAGAAAGATAGTCTCTTTAAAAATGGTGCTGGAAAAGTTGGCACTCTGCATGCTGAAATTTAAAACTTCACCCAGGTCTATCACCATGCACTAAGCTAAAGTCAAAATGAGCTAAATATCTAAACATTAAAGCAGAGACACTAAATCTCCTGGAAGAGAAAGTGGGAGTAACTCTTGAAGACATAGGGGTAGGCAAAGAGTTCATGAACAAAAATGAAAGCGCAAGGGAAACACTTGAAAGAATTAACAACTGGGAACTGCTCCTACTGAGAAGTATTTTACCAACAAAAGAATTTATAAACAAAGTGAAAAGATAACCCAAATTTGGAAAAAATCATGACAAGTACTCAGACAAAGGTCTGCTCTCTAGAATCTATAAAGAACTAAAAAACACTACGGCCCCAAAATTTAAATACCCAGTCGAGAACTGGGCATCTGAGATGAACACACACTTCTCAGAGGGAGAAATTAAAGAAGCGAATAAATATATGAAAAAATGCTCCACATAACTTACCATCTGCGAAATGCAAATTAAAACCACATTGAGATATCATCTCACGCGAGGAACAATGGCTATCATAAATAAATCACCCAAAAACAAATGTTGTAGAAGCTGTGGGGAAAAATGAACCCTTCTCCACTGATGGTGGGAATGTAGATTGGTGCAACCGTTAAGGAAATCAGTGTGAAGACACCTTAGAAAAGTTGGACTGGAAATCCCACTTAAACCAGCTATTCCTCTACTGGGAATTTTCCCGGAGAATCTGAAGAGAACATATCATAGGGATATATGTGTGCTTACGTTTATAGCAGCACAATTTTTGATAGTCAAGTCTTGGAAACAACCAAGTTGCCCATTACCAGAGGAATAGTTGAAAAAGATGTGGTATTTTTA